GATCTGGATTTAGTTATCCAATCCTCCGACTTGAAATAATATAGTCACTTGGTCAGATTGACACTATCATGATATGGTGATTTGTAATTCTTCTCCTTTATGAATACAATCTAATTGGACGATTTTTTAACCTCTTTTGGCAGAGTCTAATTTTTATCTTCTCCTTTGTGTCTGATTGTTTAATGAACTGTCTTGTCTAGACATAAACTAAAATTTTCTATTAAAACAAAAAGAAAGAAAGGAAGGAAGGAATAGGATACACCATGAGGCATGGCCTATGATAAAAAATATATATATATATTCTAGATTTTGGGATTCTCAAACGTCTCAAGCCACTGTCATGACCCAAACCAGCTCTTTAGAACCTTATGGATCCGTTTGGAAACAGATTTAGGAAAAAATCCCAATTTAAAACAGAAAACTCTTTCTTGAAAACAGTATCTCCAAAAAATTTATCTGAGAGTAAAAACCAAAATACAATAGAAATCAGAATTAAAAATTTGCTTTTATTTTATTTTATTGCAATATTATCTAAAATAACTATCCACGTACAATGATGGATAAAGTCTTCCAATAGAAAATACTCAACTTTGAGAAAGAAATAAATTCTAATTGAAATGAAGTACAAAAATCATTTAAAAAGTTTTTCCTTGAAATGGCTTCCAAAGAGGCAATCAAATAACCATAAGCCTCCAGTTTGCATAAAGTATTCATTTTTACAATCTGGTACAACAAACTATCAAATCTAGTTCATCAGAGAAATTACAATAGTAGTGGGATTTATAAAGCTAAAAGATAGCATAAAAAAGACATAATGTATTCATTTGGCAGAATGGGAAGAATGCCAAAACATATAGAACTGGATGAGAAGCATGCATATAATGCTTGCTGAAAAGGATGGCTAAACATATCAAGCAAAGATAGTAGAAACCTTGAATTAAGTGGAACCTTCATCCTTTTTCCATCTTGTTGAACACCCATGATTGATGAATCAAGCTCCACAGAACCATTATTCACATGTAAAAACTGCAAAGGACGTATCAGTCATACTTCAAAACAAAACCAAATTATACATAACCAGCCTATTTGAATTAAGGTGATTGAACCATAACAAGTACTACGAAGACAATAAGATCATGAGATCAGTCAAAACTCCTGCATCCATTTTCTTATAAAGGGCAGCTTTGCTACTCGTACCTATCCACTAATTGGCTACATCCATGAAACCAACCAACTTTCTTGAAGCTTCCATGTGTCTTTCAAATTGAGTATCTTTGGCAGTCGTTCCATTCAAATAACCTTCTTTTTTTTTCTTTTCATTTTTATCTTGTATATTCCATGAGCATCATAACAATAACAGTTAAAAGAGAGAAGAAATCTGAAAGTGTAGCTGTGATAAAAAGAAAAAAAAGAGGAAAGAAAAAGGGAGGGCTATGTATTACACTCTCAAGCTATCAAAATTGCTACTCGGGTTTTCTCATTTTTTCTTTTCTTGTTCCTTTGGCTTAACATTATAACATGTTGGAAATAACACAGGTGAGCAGAAGTTCCTACAGTTAGACGCCCCAATTTTCTTAATTGCACCTTCAGCCATTTTCTGCTTTAAACAAGACAGAAATGTGAGCATCCAACAGAACTGGTGTGGCCTTGAAACCAAAATGTGAAGAGTTACAAACAACGATCGGCTGATCGGAGAATTTTATTATCGCACAGTGAGCACTATATGGCACTACCATGGTGGATGCCCAGGAGGTTTTTGTTGCTACCCACTTAAAGGAAAAATAACTATCTTCCTTTGAGAGAATCTTCATGTCAAACAATATTAAGCGGTCATACAATGGGTCGCAAAAAAGTTCCACGCGTGCATTAGCTCACCTCATCAACCAACCCTTCGTATGTCAACTGAGAACACATGGGAGTGACCATGTCCACCTGCAGAGCAGAAATAGAAAATTCTAAACAACCAAGCCAATTGAATAGACTAGACAAATATGATATACAAACTAGCACTACTGATCCGGAACCAAGGAAGTTTGAAACAAAAGATTCAAATACAGTTATGCATCTCTTGAAAGAAATATAACTTTTATATCCCAATCATTACCAAAGCCAATATGCAAACAAAGTATAGCCTACAAAATTCAACCCACGTTACATAGTTTGTCATAGTACCACTCACAGAGGAAAGATGATGGAGTATAACGAAACATTACCTCCCTATCTAAAAGAATAAGCGTATTTATCTCTGGCATAACCATCTGAAATAAAAAGAATAAATCAATTCTTGCATAAATTTTTTTAATGAAATTGAAAAAGAAAAAGAAAAAAAGGCAGCTTTACATCGTTTGAGTTAACAGGTTCCTCCGTTTGCAAGTGATTTAGAATGTCAGAAACACGGACAGATGCTTTGCCTTTAGCCCTCACATTGGGTATCACTCCAAAAGAAAACTATCGTACATAACCAAATATATCCCATGATTAAACAGTAACTCAGGAATATGAATGAGTGAATATGGAAATAAACCCACCATAATTTATGCTACTAGAAATGTACTTATTAGACAGACAAGCATTAAATAAATCCATGAACAGATTAGATATTCCATAGGTTCTAGGTTTTATCCTTTAATATAATCAAAAAAAAAAAAAGCAGGAAATACTGTACAACCTCAAGCTTGTGAATTGCTTTTGCAATATGCCAAAGTGAACTAGTATCACCATCAACTAGGTATTCCTACCAGAAAGAGGAAGAAAAGATCAATGTCAAGGCATGCATAGGCACAAAGAAACGACATTGACAGTATCACATGAAACAATTGAATGAACTTCTTTCTATACTTTGTTAGGACGATCAAGCTCAAATGACAAAATATCCTCGTCCAATGGTATTACGTATAAAGGGTACTCCCCAATGGTCAACAGGTGGTGAACCTTTTCCTCCTCCAGAACCTGCATAATTTAAATTTAACCTTGATTGTACAGATTTTTTAACCTTGAAAATTATAAAATTAGACCACGAGTCCCTGCTGCCAACTCTTACCTTCTCACAGACTACTGTACGGCGAGGGACAAAATAAACAAAGTATTCCCTTTGAAGTCCTTTCGAAATGTCATTTTGAATATGTGAACATATGAATCTCATCAAATCCATCTGAGAGCGAACAAGATAAACCACTTTATTGCAGTCAGTTTGAATTGGATCAGGTGAAAGATGTCGTAACTCAGCTCCATGTTCCTGTTACACAGCAGCAGTTCCTCAAAAGATTCAAATTGACAATTGAGAGGAATAATTAAACTCCCACCAGAAAAATAATTAAGTGAACAGAGGAGAGTACCTTAAGCAGTGACGTTTGGATGATTAATGAAAGAGAACCTCCAAGCTTAGGATCAACGACCAGACACTTCTTTCCTCGAATCTACACAGCAACGTTCAAATTTAAAACAATTTTTTGCAAATTAACACCTCGGAATTTAAGCTCCAATGTTACTAAACGAGCAGGTTCTCTTAGATTGTTTATAAACTCCAATATAATTCAATTTTTTATTTCTGGAATTATTCTCGTTCTCGGTAGCAGAACAAGGAAAGCTAAGTGGTGAAACCCAAACTCGCCAATATACTTTGATCGAGCGAAAGGAAAGAAACTCACATTTTTCAGGATGTTTATCAGCTCCTTCTGAGATTGTTCCCTGAAAAATTGAGCATGAGATCTTGACGAGACGGCTTGAGAGAAATTGAAAGTGAATTAGAAGCATTGATCAGAAGAAGAACCTGAGCGCTCGGAGATTCAGAGGAGCATTATCCAAGTTCGGAATCTGCGCCATCGAAGCGGAAGAAATTTCCTTCTCTCTTTATTGAATTCGAGTCCTTTTAACAGAAAATTTCTTTTCCCTCGCTGGAAGAAGATGGCCGTCGACTTCCGTTGCATCTATCGTTTTTCCATCGGCGCCGTCGACTTGATTTTGTTATTCTAATTTTCTGAAATTACTTTTTCGTTAAATTATATATGTCAAAAAAAAAACAAAAAAAATCCAAACTTTTGAAAGTAAGAACGAAGCCCAAATCTTACTATCTTAGTAGTAATTTACCTCTCTATTTGGACGCTCGGATTTGTGAGGATTTTGAAATCATCATTTCCAGCGTTTGGTTGGAATTAAAA